AATTAAAAAAAATTATAATATAAATGTTTTCATTTTAAAAACCGACCATCACTTCCTTTCAACTTGCACTCTGCTTTCTGTTTTCCAAATATAATAATAATAACGGCAGCAAGAACAACAAGAAGAAGGAAGAAGAAGGAGGAGGCGGAGGATGTGGTTGGAAGTTGGCTGAACGTAGGGCCCATGAGCTATGATATGGCTACAATTATATGTCTACCCAGTCATCAATAATGTTGAGATTATAACGTAGCAAGCTATGGCTAGCACCCATGTAGAGTACAAGATGACATGGCCTGCCACCACTGGCGAGGTAGCTTGAAATTTGAAAACTCATCCAGGCCAGGGTCCCATCGCAAAAGTTTTTTTGGTTTCTTCCCCGGTTCATGGACGGGGAATTCGGCACATTTTTTACAGATGATGAACCCATCAATAATAGAAGGATGGCGTGGTGATTATCTCGCTCACCTTTCTCCTCTTGACTTTCGAAATCAATTGCCGTCCATTTTTAGTTCCGTGATCTGAAAAAACTCTGGCGCAGGTAGTGACGGTGGCCATACAAATAAACCTTTTTCTGGACGGACGGGTTAATTCGAGATTTAATTAGCTAGAAACCAAGTTTTATATGGGTCAAACCCGGGTTTATAATTGACGTGTTAAACTCGATTGATTTGCTGGCATGGCATGGAATTTGAGTGGCCCCAGCGTAATTTAAGTTAGACTTGAATTTTTTTTATATATATATATATATTTAATAACTTTAAAAAATATAATATTTATTTATGAATACTTAGTTTTATGTATTTTTTACAATCAATGTTTGCGTGCATTGTTTCGAAATTATAAGAAATATTAAGATTTTAAATATATATTTTTTTAATTTTTTTAAATTAATCTTGGTTGATCTGTGTTAATTTTAATTAATCTCAAGCTTAGCTCTTTAATTGAGTCAACCAATAAGATGGGTTTAATAAGGGACACAAGTATACCTCCAAGCATTTAACTTTTTAAAAGCTTTTATTGACAAAAGGAGAAATCTGAATGTAACCAGACAGTTTACACACACACATGCATGCACATGTATCTCGCTTGTAAGACATTTAAGAAGTCATCTCGGATTGTTTTTAATTTTTTTTAAATTTTAATTTTTAAAATTAAATTTGATAATAGAAAGAGAATTTAGTTGTAAATTGTTTTTGTCTCTTACCAAATAGAACAGAAAAATGACAGCAAACCACCTTTTAGAATTTACAATCCAATTTTATGTTTTTGTCTCTTACCAAATGAAGTTAAAAGTAATCGACCTGGCATTGCCTTCTAATGACATGGATGCTCACAGTCTGTTCTTATGACTACTTGTCATGTTTTTTCAACATCGTCTGTCTCATGCGGTATTAAAATATTCAACTAGTTTAAAAACAAGATTTATGTAATGTGTAATAAATTATTTTTTTAATTTTAATAGTTTGATATATTTTTGTTAATCAAGATAATTAATAGTTAAAAGCTAGTATCTGTAAGTCAAGATAACTAATACGGTAAAAAATCTCGAGGATCTATGTAAGGTTTTAAAAATCAGGTTCGTAGTGTGGGGCTCTTCTATCATGCCTAAGCTCTTCTCCTAAATCAAGTTCATATATAACTAAGCTCATGCATGTTCACCTCAGATCGTGAGTTTTTATAACTATATGGGTTTTTTAAACATATTAAATTTAGGTTTATTACATACTTTGATGGATTATTCCTTTAATTTAAGCCTAGAGTCAGGATTTTCTCTAAGATTAAGTTTATGATGTTGGTCGATCCTTCAAAAAAAAACCCATGAATGATTCGACTCGTGCATAATTGCTTAAAACAGCAAATTTTTGCATGTTCATGAATTTTGGAGACCTGTTAAATTTGAGTTCACCGTGTAACCATTTTTTCCTCAGCAAAACATGGCATTTAACCGAAATCTTAGTTATCTTTTTTACTTGAACTTGCATACAGAAGATCATAGATGACTTGTAGATATAAAAATCACCCTTCGGGTAACTCACAAAAAGACACTTGTATCATGCACTTGTCTAGAAATCTCATGTCCAGACATGTAATGCAAGATCATATATGAAGGCTGATGGCCAACCAGAGTCTCCATTAGTGGCCGGCATAAAAAAGCGAACAGCACTCTGAAGGTGCCTTTCCTTTCCATCTACTTCTCTTTTCACTGTTTTTCGAGGTTGCAGATCACACTTTCCAGATTTGTTGGGGTTGATCTGCAAGGCTTGATTGCTTGGGTTATGGCAATGCTTGCGGGAGTTAAAGTTCGTTGGATATAAAAACAATAAAACCAAAGGGTTTGAGATCTATTGGGTTGAGGTCCGTGTTTTTAAAAGGGTGTTTAAGGGTTTTTATTTAAAAATATATTAAAATAATAATTTTAATTTTTTTTAAAATATATTTTTTATATCAACAAACCAAAATAATATGAAAATTAAAATCAATTTTAATAAAATAATGATTGTATCCATCCAGCTAAGCACCCCCAGAGTTATTTCATCAAGTGACCATTCTTTGAAAAGAAGACGTATTCGAATAAAGGAGAAGGACAGGAAAGCCAGGCTGAAAAGAATGGCTAAGCCCACGTGGGAAGGTATTTCAAGGAGGAGTCCAACTCAGAAGTCAGAACTAAAAAATGGCGTGTCGGCCTAAGTCCAAGAATGTGATCTTTGTTGACAAGATCTTCTTCCAGATAAGAAACAATTCTTAATGCAATCTCGATTTCGAGCGAGTATTTATATTTTAAAAGTATTGTTTTTGGAAAAAAATTTAAATTTATTTTATTTTATTTTTTTATATTTTTTTGATATGCTGATATCGAAAACAAATTTAAAAAATAAAAAAAAACTATTTTGATATATTTATAAGCAAAAAATACTTTAAAAAACAACTATTATTATAATGCCAAACAGGTTGTTTATATTATGGTATAATGTTATTATAATACCAAACAGGTTGTTTATATTATGGTATAAATTTCTTTTTAAAATATTTTTAAAAAAAATATATCGAAATAATATTTTTTTATATCAACACATCAAAACAATTTGAAGACAATAAAAAAAATTAATTTAAAGTAAACAGATTAACTTTTTCAAAAAATATTTTTGAATTACAAAAACAAACAAATTCTCTTAAAAAAGAGTTAGGATCAAAAGTATGGATAATTTGATTAAAAACTAAATCTACTGAGAAAAAGAAATAGAACCAGCATTAATTTACTAAAAACATCTCAGTCCTAGAATGTGTGAAATGCATATTCTTCAAGTGAATTTGGATACTCTCTTTAAATAAATTGAGTATGATTTACATCCAAAAAAAAACTTTATTTGACCATGTTGATCTTGTAAATTAAAGAGTTTTTAATCCATAATTGTTTTTTTTTAATTAATTGGTTATAATCACAATGTACAATTGAGAGATGTTGTATGACATGAAGAAAATGCAATAAATAGATAAATCATGATCAAACTCAATTATTAGCTTTGTATTTTAAATAATTATAAATTGTCTATATTAATGTATTCTTCATTCAAAATCATTCATCATAGATAACTTTATTCAGGTTAAAAAAATCTTTAGTTGAAATCATTCTAGAAAATAAAGTTAGAATAACTTACTATATAACTAGTGGTTTTCAATAAATTATCTCACTCAATAGTATAAGTTATTTAGACAAGATTTCAAGATACGATTTATATTATTTTATAACATGTTTCTTTAAATGAAAACTCTTTGAATTTAAAACTTTTATATGCTCACACTACCTTATGTTATTAATTATATTTTAATTAGAAAAAAAAATAAAGATAATGAGATTTAAATTTATGATTATTTGGTCATTAAATAATGAGATTTAAATTTATGATCATTTGGTCATTAAAATTTTAATACTATATCAAATAATCAATTTAACTCAATGAAGTTTTAATATTATATCAAATAATCAATTTAACTCAATGATTTAAATTTTAAGTAAGACTTTAAAATATAATTTATATTATTATTTAATAATAATAATGTATATTTTTCTTAAAAAAAAAGAGAGATTTTGTGCCAAGATCCAAATCATGTGCCCAGCACCATGCCATTTACGGCAAGGCCTAAAATGGTAGTTCTTTTTCCTACTCGTAGCCTTTTTTTAGCATACTATTCATTATGCCCACACCTAAATGTTTATTGAGCTACGAGGAGTTTGAACATTGCATTAACACACCCATGCATACAAATTTTTTCTTGGTTTTACTTTCTTTGTATATAAAAACTTTTATGCAATATTAGCATATATTTTCTAGCTAATAGTTTAATTGTGTCATTAATAATCACCAGCATTTTAATATGCGTAATATTTTATACAAATTAAATATTTTTTTGACTAATAATTATTTTTAATTAATATATCATTAATAATCACCAACATCGACGGAGGATTGAACTCTACATCTAATAATGTGCACCAATTAATGATAAGAGTTTATAAATATTTTAGATCACTAAAATATAAAAAAAGTAGACTATTTTCTTGTACTCTACACTTCTTTACATTTACATTTTCTTATCATTTTTTAGTATATTATTTCTCTCATATACCCATTAATCTAAGCATAAAAAAATCCCTAACAGATATCTCATATATTATATCTACTCATATATTATTTTTCATATATTCCTCTTGTTTTATAAAGGATTTCAAGAAAGATCAAGCCTTTAACTAAGCTCATACACGTCATGGCATAGGATACCAACCCATTAAAAGTATGAAGTTTTTTGAATTGATGGGAATTGAAATCGTCTCCAGAATTGAGTGATATTTATTGTTTTTAATATCTCATATACATTTGAAGGTACACGGTCATAATTTTCAAGTTATTTCACAATATTATCCATAATGTATAAAAAAGTTCCAAAATCTTCGGAGGTTGGTCGCTCCCTCCCCTCCCTATCTCATAGCTCCGTCGTTGATTACCAAAACATTGAGCTTTATACTTAGTGTTATAAACATTTTTTTATATATAAAAAAAAATGAAGGGACAATACAACATGAACTCTTTCCTTTTTCTGTTTTGCCAGGGGTAGCAGCGCGAACAAGGCTTGGACACCTTAGTTCATCCGTCTAGAAAGCACCCTGTAGAAAATCCAATACCACATTCCAAGTATTATCCTTAATAGGAAGCTACCAAAGGCTGATTGTGATTATCATGGCTCTTTTGGCCCTCCATTTGTAATAACTTGGCAAAAACTCCAACTAGTGGTGCTGTATTGTATGTGCAGGCCTCAGTCTGCATGTAATTGCTTCTCTGGTCCGTGAAGTTATCCTGACAATCAGGTCCTCCGACCAATGCTCCGACTAAAACATTTGGGTTAGGCTCCTCCCGGCCATACCAATTGTCGTACCCTTGGGTGCACCCAATGAACCCCTTGTTCTCTCTGTATGACACAATTGAGGCCCCTCTATGGTGCACTCTTGCAGGGTATTTAGGGCCGTATCCCACTAAATAACTCATGTTCATTGGGTTAGAACCTAGGATGTAATCAACCTGAGATTTAGCAAAACCGAGGATCTCTTCGGGATCCACAGATCCACCATGGCATTTGAGCTTTTGGTTCGAGTTTAGAAGGAAATCGGAGTATACAGTGAGGAGGAATGCTGCTGTTGAGACATACTGCATGTTGTTCCATTGCCGGATGTGCAATAGACCACCTGGGGTACGATTCACATTGGTACCGTTGTTTTTGTTAAGGCATGAGCATAGGTAGTGCTCGGCTTTTGATCGGTATTGTTCCAACGTGTCGCCATGTTCCCTGTGCTTTTCTTCCACGAGCAACTGCAGTTACAACCCAAAAAATAACTGCGGTTTAATTGATGATAAAATGCGCGAGGGTCCATTGAAAATATCGGAAAACAGGGGACTTTAGAGATAAAAAAAAATTCACAAGAGGCTGAAGTTGTGAAAAGAAAAACATGACCCAAGAAGAAAGCTTCTGGGGTCAAATTAAATGAGTTTGACATTCAATTTGGCCTTGAAAGGGATGGGAAACGCTATTTCTGCCTCAGATGAGCTCTGAATAGCTAAACAAGAGCGATCGTTACCCTCTATGAGAAATTTATTAGGAAATCATTTTCTCAAAAATTAAAAAAAAATAAAAGAAATCCCATGTAATTATCCAGCAATGTTCCATGAACACGGAGATTTACTGCAATAAGTGGTACAACAGTATCTGTGGGTCTGCTCAATTAAAACAAACTTGTGCTGCTGTGCCTTATCTAACAGGCTAGCACCCATAAATGAAAGAACTGTGTCCATTCCCACAAACTGTGAAGCAGGGCCTACCTTAAAGTTTAGACTGGCCTAGGTCTTTTGCTCTTCTACACATGGCATCTGATATCCATCTCCTTTTTCTGTCTCAACGAGATAAATTCATGTGATGCTATATCATCACATGTTAGGATGCTCTTTTAACTGGTTTTGTGCCAAGTGGCAGTGATTTTGACACTCAGCATAGAATCACTGCATGGGGGATTGATTTGAAAATTGCCAGAAATTTAAACGCTTGCACATGGTTTTATGCTTCTGGGTAACCTTTTTTCAACTCTAGCAATGACACCCCGGTTGGTACCTTAATTAGGGCTCACTCCATGCCTCAACTTTACCGAAGGCTCAGGGAGGACGGGAAAAAAGAAAAGTAAAAGCGTGATTTCTTAAAGTAAATCACTGTCATTTCATCTTTGAAACTGGACATAAGCAAAGTCTCATAAAGATTTGAAAATATTCCTTGACCAAATAACCAGTAAACCCAAGATTTTGAACTTGAAGCATATGAGAGAGATGGGATGTCTTTTTACCTTTGCAGCCATAATTTGAAGGCCAGCATACTTCACATCCCAGCTGAATTCTGCCATGGCCCAACCAGTCCCGCCAAAACAATGAGCATTGTTAATGACGTACTCCAGATACTTCTCATTGTCGGTGGCCTTGTACAGCCACAGAGCTCCCCATAGCAATTCGTCTTTGTATCCACTCCCCGACGCATAGTAGCTCTTCACCACCCCCATATTTTCATCATATTTACCTCTGTACTTGTCTCCAAACTCAAACAACTACACCGAAGGAAAAAAAAAAGAATAAATATATATATATATATTAGTCAACGAAACCCACTAGAAAGATGTTTAAAAAAACACCTACGAGCAATAATTAATAATCCTTACCGAGGACTCGGTCCAGATCTCAATGTATTTTTTATGGACATATCTTCAACCGCATAATCCTTATTGATTATACTAAGCAAATGTTGTCCACTGTTTAAAGTGACATTCCTAATACTAATTAAGAAACCACTATAACAAAGAATTGTGTACAATTGTAAGTTGTTAGCATAACCCCACAGGATCTCAGTTATCTATTGACTAAGATTTGACTTGATTTTATCATTTTTACCTGTTGGGCATGGTGCAAGAGCAGGTGAGAGTAATGAGGGTTTGTTTTCTTGAACACTATTGATGCCGCCGCCATTGCCGCCGCGGTTTCTCCAGCAAGATCTGACCCGGGATTATTCTCGTCGATCCTGTAAGCTTGCCGTGATGTGGTCATGTCCTCCGGCCGTTGCCAGCAATAGTGGTCGGTGTCACCGTCACCCACCTGTAAAATATATTATGGAGTAATTTAAGTTTGAAATTGATATTAGTTTTTATGGTTTTGGAAGCAGAAATGTAATACGATCTTGAACTGTAATGGATGCAATGTAACTTACCTCTGCCCATAGCACATTCGGGCTAGTATGTGCCTTGATGAAATAATCAGTTCCCCATTTAATTGCTTCTAATGCGTGTTCCAATTCTCCGGCAACGGCAATCTGATGTTGGAATTCTATTACAGTCCATGAAAGCATTGTCACGGTGAAGGCCATTGGTAGTCCAAATTTTACATGGTCCCCTGCATCATAATATCCTCCGACCAAATCCACCTACACAGAATTAAACAGACAACATCCTTCATTATTTTGAGCAAACTAAAATGTAGAACTAATCGGGACAACGAAATTAAGTTGATACTGACCCCTTGTTCCAAGCCATCAGTGAGTCCAGAATGGTGACGCCATGTTACTCTCTGGTTGTAGGGTAAGCGACCGGAACGTTGTGATTCGAAGTAAAGAAGGCTCTTTTTTAAGGCATCACCGTAATCAAAAGCAAGACCCGTATTCAAGATGGGGAGGATAGAGACTAAGAGAACAGCCCAGTGTTTTGCAAATCTGAAGGTGGGTTTTGGACCTGCTCCATAACATTGGTGCTGCTGCCTTTTCTCCATGGCCATCAACTTTCCCCTGTTTCCCAGCTCCCCTGTCGAGCTTTTTATTCTTTTGAAGCGAGTAGGGGGGGGCTAGGGGCTAGGGAGGGAGAGATGGGAAAAGAGGGATCGCAGTGGCTTTGAGTCGTGTCCCCAATCTGTGTAGTGTAGAATTCTGTACGTCTCACATGCATGTGAGTCTCACATGAGATTATAAATTGCTTTCGCTTTCTCTCCTCTCTTTCTCTCCCTTCTTTTGTTCTTGCCTGAGCGTGATTTATGCAACGGTTTTTATTGCTTTCGTTGTGCTAAATGTGGAAATGGGAAGGACTTTGGGAATACTTTTGATTCTCACTATCTAATGAAAGATGACGACTTATAATAGCATGCTTGACATATTTGTAACTCGATACAGGTGCTCAAAAGCATAACAATTATTATTGTTTAAAAATATTTTTATTTTAAAATATATTAAAATTATTTTTAATATTAACACATAAAAATAATTCAAAAACATATAAAAATTTAATTTTTAACCCCGGTTTAAACACAGTCCTAAACAGCTATTTCATAGTTCGTGGACATTCCGCGAGTTTAAAACTAAAAATCATTGTCTCTTTGAGATTGGTTCTGTCTAACGTTCCGGTGCTATAAAAGTGAAAAATCTGGCTATTAGGCATAAATTATAATTAATGTCAAAGAATGCCGTTTCGATTAAGGTACCGAAACTGTTGTCTCTATTAGGAGATTTTGCTGACAGGTCCTTGTAGGATCGATCAATTTCTTTATAGCGCTGGAACTATCAGTCTTGCTAAAATTATCGATGGAAGAAGGACGCTCGATGTCCAAGTGCTGTCAACGTTGAGGCCTGACGGATATTCGAGCCGAAGAAAATTCAGCATTCACCAACCAGGACTGGACTCTGTGTGTGGTGCAGATTTGATTATTTTTTCGCCGGTCCTTTTCCGTGCCGCCATGTCTAATCCGGCACTCCGCCTTGCTATTCAAATTCTGAGGCCGTCAGGTGAAAAATCTCCGGTACGCTTTGACGATTGGCTGTCGTTAATTTATGATCATACGATCATCAACTAGTTTGGCGGTAGGCCATCAGGTGAAAAAGCGACAAAACCTTTGGGGCAGTCGTTGATTACACTAATCAATCCAAGATTGGTGGCTCTGAAGAGTATCATGTCATAATCATCTTCTCGTGTGAAGTAAAAAGCACTTGACATAATTATTGCCAAAGCAACGCAAAGTCATCATTTCACAGGATTTAAAGTGGTCGCCCATGAAATTATGTAGAGATTGTTTAAGATTTTAGTAATCATCTTAATGTTTTTTTTATTTAAAATTTTTAAAAATAATATTTTTTTAAATCTTATTTTTACACCCTATCAAAATAATTAAAAAAATATAAAAAAACTAATTTAAAATAAGAATTTTATAAAACTCCGGTTATGTTTTACTTCGGTTAGAAAACATGGCCAAACACACCCTAGAAACTATGTTTTAGTTTTTAGTTTTCGTATGCATGCAGCAAACAATCAAGCTAGAGGTTGCTTGCTCTGGGTAGTTCTAGTGAGTTAGGTTCTGCTATCTTTTTTTGTTTTTCAAGAAAAGTTTGGTCTTTTACACTATAATTATAATGGCTTTTAAATTTATAAAGTAATTAATAAAATTTCCGATCAATTAAATACTAGTAATTGTTAATTATACTTGATCGCTTCTCATTATCACAATTATGGTAAAATTAGTTAAATTGAAAATAATAAGATTAATTTTCTATGATTTGATAAATAAGTGTACTTCAGTGTTACAAATTCTATAGTATTATTTTCTTTTTTAATGTAATAATATTTGTTGAAATGTAATTGCTTTATTTATTCATAAATAATATGTTTTACGAAGTATTTAATTAATTCAAAATAAAATAAATAAAATTAATTTATAATTTTGGGACGCTGTAACTACAGATTTTTTAATCCATAATTTTATATAAAGTTCAAATTCTATAAAATTTGTTGATTGACTATAATAACCTTAAATATTATTGGACATCTTCAATATCCTTAAATTTTTTAAAATGATTATTATAAACTTATTTGATACTTTCTTTCATCATTGTACTATTTTTTCATATTCTTTTTCTTTATTTTTATCCAATACCCAATCTCATATTTCCTATATAACATATATATCATAGTTATACATGTTGTATAAATTTATGTCTATTTATTTTCATAAACCATGAAATTTTTTTTCAGTGACATGTTCTTCCACTATATTCCTATTTATTATAAAAATATGTTTTTTTTCATTTAATAACTTGTTATTCCATTGAGAATTATGTCCAAGTTTGTTGATTTGAATGTCACGTAGCTTTTAAAAAGATATCAAAAAAGAAAACCTATTTTATAATTAAAGAGAAAAGATGATCATTTGTTGCACTTGTTGAAGCAAAATAATTGTACATATTGAATGGTTTAATTGCATTAAAACAAACACTATATCAATTAAAAAATAGCATTAGATTGGATGAGTTTTATCTATATTAATAAAAAATATTTCTACATTATACATGTCAACTATTAGATAAGTTAATAGTTAGATAAATTAAATTCTAGAAACTAAAAGTTAGCTAGCTAATTTACAATTATATATAGATAATATAGATTAACTCTCCTTTACATGCATGGTCATTATATCATCTTAGTTGATTCACCATTTATCAAGTTGATGCATAAATATTACACATGCATGGTCATTATATCATCTTTTTTAGATTAACGTGGGTGTCCGGGCCAGCTTGCGCGCACCACGACTAATCCCACGGGCCCTGAAGTTAACGACCATGTAAGCCTCCAGTGGCCATCATATTATATCATCTTAGTTGATTCACCATTTTAGTTTAAAAGGATCCATATTGTGTTGTCTTAGAAAAACATAAATGAGTTTTTTAATTCCTATCTAAGTTCACTTAGTAAGCTTTTAAGACAATTAAACCCTACAAACACATGATAAAGTGCACAATACTCTATTTCTATACTAGACAATGATATCATATTCTATAATGTCACTAACTTACCTCTAACATATAAAATATACCTTGAGATAAATTTTTATTTTATTTAGATCTAACAAAATTAGAATAAGGATATCCCATAATATTATGTGGTAATATCAAAAATATATAACACCTTTAGCTAGATAGAGTTTCAAGTAAGCTAAGACATCATTCATTGAGTTCATATATTATTTACTCAAATTATGCATGCATTGTCTCACAACATTACTACATATGATTTGTCAGGTTTGGTATGAGATAAATATATCAACTTTTCTACTAAATTTTTGGAACATAATCAGGATAGATAACAAGACTACAATTCATCTTAATATAAGTATTTACAAATTCATATGTAAAGATAATAGTTTTGGTCAGAATACCTAATATGTATTTCTATTGAAATAGAAAACATCCTTGCTTGGATTCAGATATTTCAATGCCAATAAATATTTTATAATTTTCATGTTTTTCAACTCAAATTCCTTATCCAAATAGGTTTTAAGCTTTTTTTATACCACTTATTTCACTATCTTCAACAATCATGTCATTAACTTAAACAGTATAAAATATAATATAATCATTTTCATTTATAAAACAAAGTGTGATTTTCAAGTATTGTTTAAATCCATATCTTTTTATTGAATGGCTCAACGTGCTAAACCAAGCCCTTAAAGATTGCTTTAATCTATCAAGTGTCTTAAGTAGATTTTCAAGTATTGCTTAAATCCATATTTTTTATCGAATGGCTCAATGTGTTAAACCAAGCTCTTAAAGATTGCTTTGATCTATCTAGTGGTTTCTTTGGCTTGCATAATTTACCTCATGCTTTATATAAATTCTAGATAAAAGTCTATATACACCTTTTTTACTAGATTTAAATCATAATAAAAAAAATATTTTTTACAATGATTTGTTATAACGACCCATCTAAGTTAATTATAAGAGACAATATGCCTCTAGTAATGTTCATCTTGATTATGGGAATAAAGGTCCCTTGATAGTTAATACTATATGTGTAAATGTAACATTTAGCAACTAGTTTGTCCATTAAAACAGACACAGAGGATAACCAAAAGATAAAATATAAATGAGACTTAAACGAATGATGATAAGAGATAAAATCAGATATTAGATAAATGATATTAAAATATTATTTGGACAAAAGCAAATATAATAGGCTTCTTATGATTATAAATGGGATATCTTCTATGTTGATCATTAACTTGTGCATTCAAGTAGGCAAACTCTAAAGATACATCATATAAATCTATAGAAAAACAAACACTTATCATATATTCAATTTTAGAAGAGTTGTTTTATGACATAATAATATCATCAAAATGAATAATTGAGTTAGGGGAATTAGATGTAAAGGCTCATGAATTGCAATTTTATTTTTTTCTGTGTAACTTTTTTATAGCAATCTAGTGAGGATTTCATACTTACCCTTTTTAATTTTCATATACAACTTTTTATACAAGATTAAAAGAGATTTCACCCTAACTCAAAATAGTTAAACCCTTCATTTACCTGAAATCCATAATCTCTTATCCACTAACCATAAATATTCTTCTTCTTTACTACTAATTCCTTATAAAACAGAACAAGAGATATATACCTATAAAAATAAGATATTTATTCACAAAAAAAAATCTATTAACTTATAGTATTTTTTTTATAAAAGAATACAAGTACTTATATCCTTTTTAAAAATTAGAATAGCCAAAAAAAGTCATACTAAAAAGGATGATGGTCAAACTTGTACCTATAAATATAGTGAATATGGATATAAAATGCACAGCTAAAAATCTTATAATAAAGATTTAGAGTAAAAAGAATAAAGTGGAACCTTGATAACATCTTTAAAGAAGTTTGATAATTAATAATATGGGTAGACATCTTATTAATAAGAAAAAAAACAATCATAATAGTATAAGCCTGTAAAAATTTAAGAACGTATATAGTAAAACATAATGATCAAGCTACCTCTAAAATATATTGATTCTTAGGTTTTTTTTATACTGCTCTGTTATGGTGTGTATGCACATATATTATATAGTAGAGGATGTTATGAGTTTTAAAAAAATTAGCAAGAGATCAATTCACAAATTCATTACCATTGTTAAAATGAAAGACATGATCTTTTATGGTATGTAAACACATATTATCTG